CTTAATTCTGTATTTAGTTTTAGGAATTCCTCTGAAAAAAGGTTGAAAACAGAGAGAAGGGGATGTTTTTAAACATTTTTACAATTATCATCTGTCTGAGAACTTCTCGACTCACCCTTCACTGTTGTCACTCTAATATTAGCCAACATCGTTTTTGTCTCTCTCTCAGTTTGGCTGAGTTGGAAAAGGAGGTGAACAACATCAGGAGTGGACTGAAGGCTCTGGAGGCGGTGAGTCGACCTTCCCTCCCTTTTCTCTCTTCTCTAATTCTGTTCTGGACTCGGGGTCGGAGACGGACGGCGGGGTGGGGTGTTTAAAATGACATGGTCGTCCGCCGGTGCCACACAGAAGCACAGGCAGAACGAGTCTGTCGTACTTTAACGGAAACCGGAGTAAAAAAAAAAAAAAAGTCAACGCCTGTCTTCTTTTCTCTCACCACCAGGAGCTGCACTACCAGCAGAGCAGGATGAGGGAACACGGGGACAAGTTTGTGGCTGTGATCTGTGACTTCATCACCGTGGCTGGTTTCAGCTTCTCTGAACTGGAGGACCAGCTGAGTGAGGCCAAGGACAAGGTCAGTCGGTCGTGACCTTTACCGCTCCGTAGTACTCCGTAGGCAAAAGTACTTCAAACTTTTAGAAGTACTTTTTGCACCACATGAAAGTGGCGTGTTAGGTAAAGTGAACGTTAGCATCTGAGAGGCTTCATTCTCGTCTTTACACAAGTAACAAATTCAAATTAGGGATGTCCGATAATATCGGCTGACCGATATTATCATAATTATCTAATATTTCTAAGAATCGTTATCAGTTTTTTCTTCTGATAATGAAAACCTGATAACGCAATGTCTGGGTTTCACCGAATGATGTGTGATCTAAAAATAGTTTTGGGGGGAAAACAGCTGTATATTGAAGTGAAAGCCACTAGATGGCAGCATTGCAGCTCATTTTCTGAATCTTTCTTAATAATCAGGGGATTGTTGCTGGTGCAGTAACTCAGACAGTGGTTTATACAGATAAATAAATAAATAATACCAGGCCTGTATCAGTATCTGTTGATATCGGAAGTTAAGTGTTTGGACAGTATGGTTATGGTTGGACGAAAGGTTAATATCGGACATCTTTAATAAAAATAATTTTATCATCATTTTGAATCATAAACCATTACAAAGTGCTTTACAAAAAATGTAAACAAACACACACACTGTTTTATTTACAGCCAAGTGTGTGTGTGTGTGTGTGTGTTTTATTTTGAAAAAACCCGACTTCCTCCTGGACAGACGCTGAGCGGTAACTGATGAGTTCAGCAGCGCTGGGAAAAGTCAGCGTTGAGCGATGACTGTGGATTTCCCCTCAATGATTTTTCCGTCTTCAGCCGCGCTGGCGCTCCTACTGGTGCATGTTTGGCAGTGCAGCGGCACATGAGTGGGAACTGTGGGAATTCCCAAGTGTTGACAGGAATGATGTGAACATGTTGTTCAGCTTGCAGCCCCTCAGTGTCGCACATTAGCATCGCAGAGCTGACGTGGTGAAAAAACAATCCCAAAAACTCAAACTCATTTGTCAATTATCATTCGATACACTCACTCGATGAACATGTCGTTATTTACACACACTGTGGGGAAGAAGAGTTGGATTTGAACCTCCCACCATCAACATGAAACAAGTGAAACTTCATCGTTGTCAAAGTCTTCTTCAACGGAAGACCACGGACTGGGAGTCTACAGCAGACTGGCCTGGGGCTGGGGGTGTGGCCTGGGCCTGGGGGCG